ACCAGTGCAAGACTGCTCAACGACAAGAGGAACTGAGCACAATGTATAAAACACTGGATAAAGAAGTGAAGAAGAGTGTACGCAAAGACAAAAGACACTTCTACGAAACACTGGCAAGTGAAGCAGAACAGGCTGCAGGTAAGAGAGACCTGACGACATTGTATCAAATAACCAGGTTGCTATCAGGGAAGAGACCAACAGAGATGAAACCAATAAAAGATGAAGAAGGAAATTTAATTACGAAAGAAGAGAAACAGAGGAAACAATGGGCCGACCACTTCAAGAAGCTCTTGAATCGACCACCACCACCACCTGCACTTCGTCCAGAAATACCACCTGCAGCCGCTGAATTACAAGTGAACATAAATCCCCCAACGAAAATGGAAGTCCTGAACGCCATAAAGCTACTGAAATGCGGGAAAGCAGCAGGACCAGATGGGATCCCGCCAGAAGCACTGAGAACAGATGCAGAGACAACAGCAAACATGCTCACACCACTATTGCAGAAGGTGTGGAAGGAAGAGAAGGTACCTGACGATTGGAAGAAGGGTTACCTTGTCAAACTGCCGAAGAAGGGAGACCTCAGTGTTTGCAAGAACTGGCGCGGAATCACTCTCCTGTCCACCTATAGCAAGCAAAATATTAAGCCGCATCATCCTGGAGAGGCTTAAGGATGCACTGGACTCAAAACTACGACCGGAACAGGCAGGCTTCAGGAAGTACAAATCATGTGCAGACCAAATTGCAACGCTTCGCATCATCATAGAACAGAGCGTAGAATGGCAATCAGCTCTCTACCTCAACTTTATCGACTTCGAGAAGGCCTTTGACAGCGTCGACCGAGAAGTAATTTGGAAACTGCTTCAATACTACGGAGTACCGCAAACCTTTATCAGCCTCATTCAACAACTATATGAAGATGCCACATGCCAAGTAATTCACAATGGGAAGCTCAGTGATGCTTTTGAAGTGAAGACAGGAGTGAAACAAGGTTGCCTACTATCCCCCATGATATTTTTGATTGTGGTGGACTGGATCATGCAGCAAACAGTGGGGAACGAGAAGAGGGGGATACGCTGGACGACGGAAAAGAACCTAGAAGTCTTGGATTTCGCCGATGATGACTTGTGCCTGATGTCACATAAACTTGAAGATCTAAAGGCGAAAACTAACAAGTTGGTAGAAGAGGCAGCTAAGACGGGACTTCAAGTGAATATAGAGAAGACAGAGGTGATGACGATACCGCACCAACAACTCCTACAACAACAACAAACTCCAGTCACCATGAACGGGAGAAACTTAAAGGAAGTAACCCCCTTCACTTATCTAGAAAGCACTGTTTCAACTACATATGGCGGCACAGATGAGAACGTCAAAGCCAGGCAGGATCGGAAAAGCAAGATAGGCGTTCATTAGCCTGAAACCAGTGTGGAGATCTTCTGCACTCAGCATGCGGAACAAGATCCGGATTTTCAACACCAACGTCAAGTCAGTGCTTCTGTATGGCTCGGAGATTTGGCGCGTCACGAAAGGCATTTCCAATAAACTACAGACATTCATCAACAACTGCTTACGCTCGCTGCTGAAGATCAGATGGCCAGAAAAAATAAGCAACAAGGAACTCTGGGAACGAACCAACCAAGAACCTATCACGCAACAAATATGCAGGAGGAAGTGGAGATGGACTGGCCATGCACTGAGAAGGCCGACTGAGGACATCACGCGTCAGGCCCTCGAGTGGAATCCCCATGGAAAGCGACGAGTTGGACGTCCGAGGGTGACATGGAGGAGGTCGTGCGAGGAGGAAATGAGAGCTTGTGGGCAGTCGTGGAGGGAGGTTCAAAAGATCTCAGAGAACAGAGGTCACTGGAAGCGTGCTACTGAAGCCCTATGTTCCACTAGAAACCCAAGGGACTAATAACAATAATAATAATAATAATAATTGTATCTTGTTTACTAACACCACCTCTAAAACAACCAATTGTATCAAGCGTACATTGAATGAGCAACTTTTTAGTGCCACTGGCTTTTCGCCTGTTATAAAAACAACTGTATAGCATAATAATAAAGTCATTGAAAGGAAATAATTATTCACTAATACACAGATTTGTACCTCAAGGTATGTAATTAAATGTCCGAGAAATACATTTACTTGTATCTCTCATGTAACACATTTGGGTACAGTACATATAGTTTTTGTCACGAATGAAACAAAAATCTGACATCTAGATGAAGCCTCGTGACTTTTCTGATACTATTCTTCACAAGTTGCAGATGTGCAGCCGGAGACCACACATAGTCGTCACGTTTTGATTCCATCATATTCCTACTGAGGAATTTAAGAGCACTAACGTCTGGTGTTCAATTTGATACTTCTTTACTTGTAAGCTGATAAGGAATAAATACTAAACACGCAAATAGAAGGAAAGTTATCAGTCAGCCAATCAACCAACCGATAAGAACATGGGACCTAGTAATTCTGCGTAACGGTCCAAGCTGCCACACCCCATATCAGCACGTTAGCGTACAAACCAGAGAAAAGAAGGAGAAGAAAGGCTAAAACAAATGATGAAATGTTATCTGATAATAATAATAATAATAATTAGGACGATGCCTCTGCACCACTTCTATTGACCTTGAAGTGCATCATCCAGAGCCTAAAATCACTAATCACAGGTTTTGTGTCGACCTTTCACTGAGGAATCTTCATCTTTTTACAGTGCTCTGACCAACAATCACAGACTACATGGAATAACGACGCGTTTTAGTCTGATCACCTTTATTCACCCTGAACTTTCTTCAGATAACATAGTACACAGGGGTCGATGGTATCTGGGCATGCACAATCCATGTTCGAGCCACCTAAATTCATGGAAGTTCACAAGTACATAAAGGGAAAACAGACAGACAAATCGACGTAGAATCTGGCACACAAGAGCAGCGGTTCAAGTTGCCACACTTCACAACAGAATGCATAGAAGTGGATAGAAAGGGTAATATGAAAGTATACACAATTACATAGGAGGACAGAGGAGCAATATATGAAGGTTAGTGAAAACGCCCACACTTTCGAAGATGTCAGAGTCAATGCATCTACACCATTGTAAACGATTTCGGGCTATGTTACCAAGAGTCTCCAAACACTGATTCTTACCGTCCTTTTGTAAGTGGTAAGATCTTTAGTATACTATAAGTAGCGTAAGTTGGTGAATTCCAAACATATCTTTTATATCCAACCTGAAATGTCATCGGCAACCAGTCTATTCGGGTTGATGCAACTTGCCAAGTAAATGAATTGGTCAACACCACCACTTGACTCTTTCTCACTAAACTAGGATTTAGTGCAGACCGGAATTCAAGCATTACCTTACATGTGAAGGGTGCGAAATACACGCCCGGCAAACTTAGATTTCTGTGATGTTCAGAAGAATCAGAGTTCTTTTTTACAAGGACAGTGACAACTGCCTAGTCCAAACCAACCAGGTCCTCAACAGAATGTCACCCAATGTCTTAAAAGTCGGAATTACGTAGCGTTACGTCAGTCAGGAAGTTAACAGACAAAATAAATAAAAACAGAGACAGCATGCGTCTGTGGAAGACGTCAGTGGTTACCATTCCCCAAGACCACAAGCTTTAATAAGCCCTACAAGTACCCGTCGATGGAATTGGGTAGTGGTTGCGCCATATCACGAATTGACAGAAGTGGTTAAATGGTAACGGGCTCGCTTGGAGACCTGATGGTCTTAGCCTCACTTGCTGATAGGTTTGTGGGTGCGCACTACCGAGTTCCATACTAGGACGAAACAGCTGCCCAGTGCTCCCAGGTTTCCAATGACTTTTCTAACCACATCGATCCGCGATTAATACTACCTTGAAATCAGTCAACATCCACAAATCTATAAGTTGGAAAACATTTTTGCTGGAAATAAACCATTCTACTTTTGCAAGTTATAAAACCTTTTATAAATTTGAAACAATTAGTCCCTTTTATGAATTTGGATAACGTAATTAGAAGACGTAGATAATCTGAAAAGTGTGAATTATTTGCCCTATATATTTCAAACAATCTGACCACATTTACTTATTAAGGCATTATGCATGAAAACTGAAAGTGTGGGAAGGATAAATAGGACATAAAGAAATCCAATAGTAAGAAAGATAATGAAAGGAGAAAAGATAAGATTTGAAGAAAACCTTGGTAATAGGATAAAATAAGCACTACCAGTGTAAGCTTAGCGTAAGGACAAGCTGTTTGTGCACACAATAGCGGGCTAGATTTGTCTATGGCTAGCGCTTTGACCGACCTGAGTATACGCCCCTGACCGTTTCCGTACAAAATTGTGAAGGCTGTTTCAGTATCAATCCTGTGACCTTTATCAATGATATATTTTGCGATGGATGATGGTGGTTGTCTGAAACCTGTGCTAATCGATGTTTATGAATCCAGCTGCTTTTGCAGCCATTTTAGTACATATCCTCCTACCCTCAAAGGCATACCAAACAGCTTGTCCTTACGCTAAGCTTACACTGGTAGTGCTTATTTTATCCTATTACCAAGGTTTTCTTTAAATCTTATCTTTTCTCCTTTCATTATCTTTCTTACTATTGGATTTCTTTATGTCCTATTTATCCTTCCCACACTTTCAGTTTTCATGCATAATGCCTTAATAAGTAAATGTGGTCAGATTGTTTGAAATATATAGGGCAAATAATTCACACTTTTCAGATTATCTACGTCTTTTATAAACTTTTTAAAAGAGAACAGACAGAAGTAAACTATCCTGAAAAGACAATATGCCTAAGTACAACTGCAAAGTATTTCAGGGTAAGAGAAAAACAACGATTAAATTAATGACTGAATGATAGACGGCCGAAAACAATAATCCTTTACAAGCCTAATCATTCATGTAAAGGATTTGAGTTTTCTGAAGTTATTTATGATAAAATGCAGATACAGTAAAGAGATATGACCGGTGCATATTTTGTGCAGTTAGACAAACCTGGGATTGCTCAGCAGGAAACTCATCTCTTGACTCAGCCTTTTTAATAACGTTAAAAACAGGTATCCAGAGACAAATCCACAGAAGACCGATAAAACCAAATATGTAAAATGAGTGGGACCAAACTAAGTGGGGGCAGACCAAAGTTGCTACAGTTTGGCCAATAACACCAAATGCTACTAGATAACCAAGAGCCCAACTGCGTTCTTCGATCGGCACAACATGCGAAAATATGTGTAGTATTGTTGGTAGACCTAAATAAACACGTGAAAAAATACAGTAGCGAAAGGTTACAGACTTATGCACACAAATCGCATTAAAAAGTACTAGAATTACCGATGTAACAGAAGTTTTAACAGAGGTGTGTAGATCAATCGTAACTCTCTATGGAATGATAACTCCGTAAACCACTTTGTAATTTAGGAAAGTTTCACAGGAAGAAAAGTGGGAAAAGGCGAGTAACACTTGCAAAATGTTCTGCAAATTCAAATTTGTCAAGGATAAGATAAGAAATAGGAAAACGCTGTGATCTTCTGACTAACATCATGAAATTCTTGGTAAGTTGTCTATGCTTGGAAGACCTGAGGTGAAGAAAAAAGCTACTGATCATGAGAAGATAAGATTTTAAAACCAATCATGATACAGTGCAATTGAAAAAGTTAAAGCAAAGTAAACTGACGTTAAAAATTCACATCTAGCCATAATGAGAATACAGTGTTCTTTTACGGAGTTTAATTAGGGCGTAGGAACCTAGATTATCCGATATAACCAGTGTTTTTATTCCTTCGTAGCCCTTCCAGAAACAGTTGTGCTTTCTACCAGAGAAATTGAAGCATACAATCATTTCTGAAATGTTCATTAATTAGTAAATTGATATTACTACGTAACCATTTACGATTTCATGGACTCGACTTCGAACTATACAGGTACGTGACAATTAACAAAAGCGTAGGGACGGTACACATTTAGTACCATCCTAAACATGCAGCAATATAGGTCAGCTAGGTGTCGAAGGTTACTGAGCAAACTTAAGGACTCGATTAAAATGTTGAAGAATAATTTGCTAACTCAACATGAGGTTAAAAGAGTAAATCACCAATCACTTTCATTTCCTTTCATCTTTTATTTTTACTCAATATATTCTATGATACTAGAAATTTGGAAATCTGGAACCTTGTAATCACTTCAGGTCCCTAACAGATTCAAAAACTCAGATGCTTTGTCGGATAATTGTAAAGCTCTTGAAAAATACTCAATTTCGTATGTATAAAAAAGTATGTCGATTACCTGCTCGACTTCTGAAAAGTGGGTTATGGGTTTGGACACTGTTCCATCTAGCGAAGTCTAGGCACCCAATTAGTACCGTTGGTCCTCACACAATAAAGTGGCTCATTGCTCATTGTACTTCAGTGCACATGTTGTTGAGTGAATTTCGATTCGATTTTTATTTATTGTGAGGACCATTATGCTTGTACTTCGTATCAGCTGTTTAACTGACTCGAAATGCTTAACGTATGCTGTGTCTACAAACAACTTTCAAAATACTTAGGCAGTTCATTGGTCAGCTAATTAATTTGATAGTGTAGAGTATTTCCTTTTGCTAAATACCTAAAAAAAACCACTTATAAACACAAATGAATTCACAATGTTCACTTGTATATTACGAAAATATGTGGTTAGTCAAACTTTTATTTGTAAATTAAAACTCAAGGCTGTCAATCCATAAATTCAGACATGTCTTCAGATCAGTGATAATTCTCTTAGGTCCAGGTTGCTACAAACATATCTGTCAGCATCTTCGCAAAAATACTGTACAAAAAACACTAGTTTCTTGATATTTAAATGAATAGCCTTCTTGAACAATAAGACTTGAGATAATAAACTGTTGCTTAACTTCAAAAGCATATATTCCTTTTAGCATTAGATTATACGGATCAACTTTGAATTAGCTAAGAATTTAAGTTGAATACTTTTCTCATTTAACATGCATCACTTTAGGTAACGTTTAATCCAAAATGGAATTGCGTCAAACTACTTCTCCTTACAACTTCATTGATAAGTTTATCCCCTAATGTCCAGTGATAAAATGTTTGTTGAATAAAATATTATAGCATTCTTACCTAAACCTTCTCTTAAACCAAGCAGAATACGCGAAACTACCAAAGAGTAAATCGAGTGCGCAAAAAATGGAGTGGCAATTGATGATAAGGACCAAAACAAGATGGCAAAAGTAAGGATCAAACTTCCACCAAAGCGTTTTGCAGCACTCCCACCAATAATCTGTAACGCAAACTTACAATGAACTGGGAATACTTACCATACTGACAAGATAACCTGCAGAAAATGAACTCAGAACCCAACCATACTGGTGAAGATTCCAGCCGAAATGATTTGATATGGGGATTATAACAATCGGCATGATAACTCGATCAGCAGCATTAATGAAGTTTGCCAAACAACACAAAAAAACTATCCTCCAGACATAATTAGGTTCATATATCCACTTAAATATGTTGTATGTAGGTAGGAAGTTGAGGCAGTTTAAGAAATCCATATTTCTGTTTGTTACTTGGTTGGTGTTCGTGTACTAAGAATCCATCACATTTTCGAATAGCCTAATGCCAGAAATCATGTTTTGGGAATTGAAAGGAAATGCGTAAACACTTGTTGAACAAATTACATTTCGAAAGTATGATAACATAGGAAACTGACAGCTATTCCTACAGTGTTCTGGCTGACAGAATGACTTATTAAATCAACGTAGAACCTCGTTAAACAGGTCCAGAGGCTCAGATTGCCTCACTTCACAGTAGTATACAAAGAACAGGTGGGTAGGTAAAGAGTGATATTGCAGAAGACAAAGTTGTGTGAGAATAAGCATTTTAAAAATTTAGGTTAGTGCGAATATTGAAGCTTTAGATGTCTAGGAGTGAACACATCTGCGCTATTGTGACAAATTTTCAGAGATGTCATCAACCACTGATTACTTTCGTCTCGTGAACCCCAACCATGCAGTTAATATCTCCTCCACATGGCTCAGAACAACAGTCAGGAGCTTCATGCACTGGTGCCACTTCGTCTGATTACTCTGAACCCTCTTACAACCCAGTCTAACTTCCCCTATTATGGCATGTCGAAGTAGGCTGTGGCTCGGCATGCACAGTACATGTCTAAGCCACCTGAGTCAAATGAGGTTCACAACCTCCTCAATCGACTCACCTGTCTTGTCTAGTACCTTCCACCTAACCTCAACATTGCTCACACGGTGATTCCACCAAAGATGAGGAATGCTACCAACACACCTGTGAACCAAACCCTGCAACCGCTTCATGTCGTCTACTTTTAACGGCATGTCTCACAGTCGTACAACAGGATAGGGCGGACAGCAGTGCAGTGTACTCTCCCTTTGACAGGTAGTCGGGTATCTCGACAACTGGCGTCACAGTTGACGCAAGTTGTCAAATGCCAAACGGGTGTTCTGTATCCGAGCTGAGATTCCGTCAGCAACTAGCGCATCCGGATAGATGCAACTCGTCGAGCAAGTGAAGTGGTCGACACATTTCACTACTTCACTCATCATTACGCTAGGAGTAGTTGCCGTCCAGCGTGAAGTTTATCTGTACAGACGCAAAGCGTCTAAAAGACAGAAATAATCCTCCAAGTTTTCACAAAGCTAGAAATTAACTTACAAGTTTTTTCATGTTTACACAGTAAATGCTTTTCAAGTAACTATCATTACCTATCACCTTTTACCGCCGACTAAAATTTAACAACATATCTTATTCAAAAGTTACTTGTAGAAACTACAGGATCACTAAAAATTCACTTTTAACGTCACAGCCTTAACGAGGGTGGCAGTAGTTTTCAACGCCTCTTGAATCATCTAAGAGGGATAAAATGTAACTCCGTAATTATTTGCACCTGCGTGCAGCAGATATGAGCTACACATGGTGTAACTTTGGTATTCACTGACTGACATTTAAGAATCTAGATAGATCAGGCACAACTCCAAAAGCCCGCAAGAGCACAAAGATTATAGGTACCTGTTCATCATATTGCTATGCTATAAGGTGAACCGCAATGGAGAAAGTCAATATTAGACTTAAACATTTACGTCCAGAATAAGCTGAGATCATCTGACAAATGGTAGGTTTCCAAAGTTAAATATCTTAGAGAATCTCGACCGATAGCTGCTACCTTGACGTGGTGGTCGGGCTTGCATATCACAATGACCCAACGAGCTATGCTGGTGGAACGCTTGTTCCCTCGAGGTCCTACCATACCAGAAAGGTCTGTTGGGTAGTGGTTAGACGAAAAGCAGTTACCGTTATAGTGTAAATTGCTACACTATGATGGGGGTCTGAGGGCGAAGTCGTACTGCTGCTAGCTGGATGGGGTGTGACAGCAGTAAGGTGTTTCCCTTGGATGACCAGCAGTGCCAAGCTGATGCTGCCTTCTCAGTGGAAGGGGGGGTTAGAAAAGGTCGGCCCCAAAAATAACACACTCCACCACGCCCCACGGTCTGCCGGGCCGGCGGTGTTGGTTCACTTGTCGTTTCCTTTCGCTCATCCGGCCCCAAAAATACAAAAATTCAAAATAATCATACTCAAAAGGCTGGGTGTGACAGGCCTCAAGCAGATGTCCGATGGGCTCTGCGGTCACACAAATCTCTTTCAGGTACCTTAAGAAGAAATAGCCTTCCACGGTGTGGGCAGCCGGGAAGTGTCAACCGCCCTCACAACTCTGTCAGCACCCAAGTTTCTTCTGACTGCTATCCTCCTCCTCCATCATTACCTTCTAATCTTCCTTCACGTCTCTTAATTAATGATGCTGCATCATCTTCAATTTCTCCTACCTCTGCAGCCTTCGACAACGATCTGAGTCCACAGAACAGCATCCCTGGTCTCCTTAAACCACGCTCCAAATTACATATTGGAGCCTTCAATGTCCGCACCCTCCGTCAAATTGGCCAACAGGCTTCGTTGGCAAAGACTCTAGCAACTCGGGCATGGATGTGTGCTGTGTTTGTGAGACACGCATACAGGACCCAAGTGTGGTTATTCACCTGACCTCTCCTGACCAATCTGGTGAATCTGCAAAATTCACCCTTCGAGTTTCTGGAGATTCGATAGCTAGCTCTCGTGGTCTTGCAGGTGTAGGTATAGCATTAAGCACCAGGGCAGAAAACTCACTACTAGACTGGATCCCAGTTGATAGTCGCCTCTGCGCTATGAGGCTGAACGGCACAGTGAGAACTAAAAGGAATAGTGAGACTCGCCGTTGTCTCTTTGTAATCTCTGCTTACGCACCCACTGACTGTAGTTCGGATGAAGTGAAGGACGAGTTCTACCATAAACTGTCTAACCTCCTCTCGAAAGCCAAACGTTCGGACGTAGTGGTTGTTGCAGGTGACCTCAACGCACAGGTGGGTAGACTGAGTGAGGCAGAAAGGCACTTAGGTGGCACTTTCGGAATCCCAGCTGAACGTACAGATAACGGTGATCGCCTATTACAACTATGCTCAGATAACCGCCTATTTTTAGCCAGCACAAATTTCAGACATAAAGAAAGGCACTGTCTGACCTGGCGTCCACCGAGCTCGACTCAGCGATGGACACAGATAGACCACATTGCTATTAGTCATCGCTGGAGAGGATCGGTGGAAGACTGCCGCTCCTTCTGGAGTACGTGTTTGGACAGCGATCATGCGTTGGTCCGAGCACGTATATGCCTGCGTCTCAATGGACGTAGAAAAAATTTGGCAACAAAACCACTACGAGTTCTGCTGGACAACGAAAACACCAAAGCCGTGTTCAGTGAGAAGTTGGCTAGGCAGTTATCGGAACAAAAGACTGTCACTCATCCAGAAGAAGCTTGGTGCCATCTTCAGTCTACTGTAAAAGCAGCACTGGAGACTGTAGCCGACTCCAAGATAATGGCTAAAAAGAGCCAGTGGATATCAGCAGCTTCTTCCAAACTAATGGATGCACGTGAATGCATCCCTGCAGGCTCTGAGTACAATGAAGAGCGAGCGCAACTTAAAAATAAACTGACGAAAAGTCTGCGCAACGATCGTGAACAGTGGTGGGCAGCAAAGGCTAAAGAGATGGAAAAGGCAGCGGCGATCGGTAACAGTAGACAGTTATTTAGACTTATTAAGGAGACTGGGGGGAAATGGTCAACAACAGTTAGTGAGGTTATAGCGGAGAAGGACGGATCGGCGATTCACTCGCAGGGAAGGCGACTGGGACGATGGGCAGAACACTTTGAGGAACAGTTTAACTGGCCTCCAGCCACCATTGCGCTGCCCGCTATCCAGTCGGACCCTGAATGGGACATAGAGACAGGTCCCCCAACACTAGAAGAAGTTGAGAAAGCGGTAGGTAGCCTGAAACGGGGAAGGGCAGCAGGACCAGACGGACTACCTGCTGAGGTATACAAGAATGGTGGTAGAGTTCTCTTAGTCAGGCTAACGGAAGTGTTAGCCAGTATATGGGAATCAAATACGATCCCCTCCGACTGGTCTAAGTCACTGATCATCCCAGTCTTCAAGAAAGGCGAGAAGTCCTCTTGTGATAACCACAGAGGAATCAGCCTGACAAACATAGTGTCTAAGATCCTAAGTTCTATAATTCTCCGACGCCTGAGTGGAGCTCGGGAACAGCAAGCCCGAGAAAACCAGGCAGGCTTTAGACCTGGCCGTGGATGTATCGACCAAATATTCACACTGCGCCAGGTCCTGGAACATAGGCATGCTTACAGACGCCCGACAATAGCTGTATTTCTCGACCTGAAGGCGGCATTTGACTCCGTTGATCGAGAAGTCTTATGGCAGTGTCTGTCACTGAAAGGCGTGCCTAGTAAGTACATCACCTTATTGAAAGCTCTCTACTCGAACACTTGTGGGCATGTTAGAGCCTATGGTGAGTTGTCCAGGGAGCTATACTCATCAAGTGGTGTCCGTCAAGGATGCCCACTATCCCCATTCTTATTTAATTTTATCATAGATATTCTTATGGAGGTTTCCCTCTCGTCACCTAATTACAAAGACGTTGACGATCACAAGAGAATTTTCCTTAGATCTAGAATATGCAGATGACATAGTCCTGTTAGGTGAAGACGCTGACAAGATGCAGAGTCTTCTGAACACTTTGAGTGGGAATTTGAGAATGTTTGGGATGCGATTTTCACCACCCAAATGCAAATTTTTGCTCCAGGACTGGTCTTCAGCGGTACCGCGGTTAACAATAGAGAGTGAAGTGGTTGAGTGTGTTGACCACTTCACTTACCTGGGAAGTAGGATCAACCCGGTGGGTTAGTTGCCGATGAGATTTCTGCACGGATACAAAAGGCTCGATTGGCTTTTGCCAATTTGCGCCACCTATGGCGCCGCCGTGATATTCGTTTGTCTATTAAGGGTCGCGTGTACTGCACAGCAGTCCGCTCTGTTCTACTGTATGGCTGTGAAACATGGCCATTGAAAGTGGAAGACATGAGAAGGTTACAGGTATTTGACCACCGTTGCCTTCGTAGTATAGGACGTATTCCGTGGTG